TACTTGATTATGATGTTCATCTTTATTCTACGATATTTTCTTGGGGGGGGGGGGAGCAAAATTACAGCCTGAAATTGCAAGCTTTTAATTGAAGAAATAACAGTGATGTTGCTTTTACTTGTCATTTCTGAGTGTAAAAAATCCATTTTCCACGTGTACAGACAGTACAGACAATCACAGAGATGTTTTGACAAAACTCATTATGAATTTTGTAAAATAAATGTGCTAATCCAAAAGGCCGGCTCCAGCATGAAGTTTGATTTTCATCCCTTGGATAATAATTATATAATCATTATCATAAATCATTGTACAGTAATAGTTAGAAATAAGACAAACTACTTACAGAGTGTTGGAAACCATCGAAGTTGTAGCCGTGCACGGTGCGAAATCAGTGCTTGATTCTGAGCACGCCGCCAGTAAATATCAGTCATATATAATTATAATATAGTTTAAAGTCTAATTCTTTTTAAGATAACAATTCGGCTTAGGGACCCTTCTGCAAGTAGGTCTGTCGTTATTTTTTAACTTGCGAAATCAATCATGATTTAATAGAAGACATTTAGCAGAAATCATCTTTCAACAATAAAAAATATCTTACGATAATGGTCAACATGACCGGAGGTACTGCCCACATACAATACTCCCCCTCCTTTTTTTAATTTTTTTTTTCCATATTTTTTCCTCCACAGGGATGTTATTGATTTTCCTTTGCAACAAATTCAATCATAAATTATATTCAAGGTAATTTGCATTTATAATATAAATAAAATTGACTACTCAAGATATAAATATTTGTTGAACTGTTGAAGTAACAGAAAATAAATACAGTTTCAATAATGTATTTCTAATGTTCATGGAAAACAAATGGAGAATTAAAAAAAAAAATTGTAACCGATTGAGAGCCAGCAATGAGTATGTGACTATCCTTCAAAAGGGTGTAGAACAGTATCATATTTACAAAAATGATAATGAGAAGGATTTAAAATCTTCGTTAGACAGGGGTGTAATATATTTTGGCATATTCGAATACGATACAAGATTAAATCGATGTTTTGTTTTCTTTCTCTACCAAATATTCCCCTCGATTTCCCTCGGAAAAAACGATGAAGGGTGGCTATTTCGGCCAATATGGATCCTTTTTAAAATACGTACAGTGTTGAATTATATACATATATAGTTTGGATGCGCATCTGACATCCATATGACATACGTTGGATGCAGTGGCGTAATGAGCCAAAACAAAAATTGGGGGTGGGGGGCAGAAGAAAAAAATTATTTCAACTACATTTGTAAATCATTGGTATCGAATTAGAAAGAAAAAAAAAAATCCACGTTTAAATCGTCTTTTGTGAAACGTACATGTGCAAGTGTGTGAGCGAGTGCATGTATTTGGAGCGCTTATTATATAATATCTATTACTTGTATGCAGATAATAAATGACGCTGCCATGAAAGAATATATCGTATAGTACATGATTTTACAGTAGCTAGGAAACTATTCCATAGGCAAAGGCCATGGTGTCGGATAGATTTATGAGCAATTAGCATTTGGGATTTAAATGACAATTCTGAGAGTTTCGTGTCGGATAATAATGGATTGTGTTGTTTATAACAAACAGGCTGTGGAATGCCAGATGAAGTAGGTTATTTGAGTATCTGGACATAACGATTACAAGCTTTTAAGTATCGATATAATGTTTTCAGCTTTTGAAATAATAGAATTAAGTGAATGTATACAAATAGAATTGCTGTGCTACATTTCGGCTATAAAAGTCATCTCAGGAAGAAGAAAAAATACAAATAATGAAATTTCGGTCTTATGAGATAAGCCATCGTTATTCACATTGTACATGTGATTGATTTAAACAAGTTTTCTTCTTCTCCTTCTTCCTTTTTAAGTATGAAACAAACTCAACGATTATTTAAACATATTTGTGGCTTACACCCATTAAATAAGATCGATTGATCGATCTGTATTGAAAAAAGCCACAAATAAACTCAACGTTGTGATAAATGATTCTTATTTATATAAAGACGTAATACAACTTCTGATTAGCAAACAAAACGTCGGTTTTAGGAGGAGAGGAAAAACGATTTTTCCATCGGCTTGCTTGTGAAGAGCACAATCACAGATACATGAATACTTTATTTCAAATATTTGCCTACATTAGAAATCTTACATTTCTGAACATGACGAAGGAAATAATACAGCTTTCATAAAATATGTCTTACAAAATACATACAAGAATGTCTTTATTATTAGAGGGAAGATGAACAGATGAGATTTTTACCATTAACAAAAAAAATTAACCTATATACATAAATATCATGTAGAAAATGTCACAATACAAAATTCGAATCATGTAAACCGTCTGAGAAGCAAACTTTATTTCCTGATTTTAAAATGCATTCACTTTCTCATTGATATAAGCATCGCTATCGCATCCTTTGCTTAACAATAAGAACGAGAGAGAGAGAGAGAGAGAGAGAGAGAGAGAAAGAGAGAGAGAGAAAAACAAATAGGTGAAGAGCGGGGGCAAGCCAAAGAGAGAAAATGTGATCATTTGTTTTAAGATGGGGTGACCAAAGTTCGCGGGTATTTTTTAAAACATTAGTAAATATGATATTCGATCCATGATTTCTCTTGTTCGACACAAATTGATTTAGTTCATATATTACCAAATGGACTATAAAGTTTTTTATTACAAATCGGTGCAACTAGAACATTTATCGTCAAGGAATTCCGGAATATATCGCGATTTCAAAATTCGATGTTGAATCGAAATGCGCTGGAACTCAAGAAAAATTCAACAACAAAAAACCGAGACCTTAATTCGCGCACGAAAGTTTACGACTTATTTAAACCCCCACCCAAAGAGGTTAATCAAATATAAAAATAAATGCACATTATGCAAAGAAAATATTACAAATTAGTTAGTACCACGTTTTACTCATAGTTTTGATGACATCTGCTCTCAAAATAAAAATGTCCAGACCCTTGTCGGTAATTTCATATTTTTCGGAACGTACGCAAAAAACAACAACATTTTCCGATCTTTTGTCAATATTTTCATAATTTTACACCAAGTTCCATAACAAATATTGGTCTCTGTCTAATTTTAGGTTCTTCTTTCCATTGGTAGTATATATTAGATTTTCGAAATCTTACCGATTTGTTGAGACAGCGAACTAAGGCCACGCTCGAACTATGGTCACACCACCATACATATATTTCTAAAGCGAATCATGTTAGGCCATACGAATATTTCGAAATCGACCAAGGCAAGGATGGAAGAGATTACAGCTATCAGCGACTATTTTTTGTCATGAGTTTATTGATTATAAGCCAGTAATATTAGTTTTTCATGCAAGTGATATTTAAATTTACGAGAAAGTACTATATACCAACATATCAATGGTGGCTATAACCTAAACTCATCTTAAATATATAGACATAAATTGTACAGAATATATAGGCTACACTATATTTCTTAATGATCAGAAAGAAATCGATTTCCCAGCTACACCTATATGAAAAACACTTTTGAAATTAATCTCATTACCGGAGGCATTTATCTTAATGATGTTATACTAGTATTCACTCATTTATACGGACTCTATTTTTCATTTATATTTTCAATCGAATTTTTCGGCGACACCATAGCCAAATGTCGGAATACCTCAATCATCATGGAAAACTGTGTCAAGCAAACCAAACCGTGTCATATTCAAGCAAAAATTCCTTTTCATTCGTAAGGGAACTTTTAAAAATCAACTTGAAGATGTTTAGTGTCTATATTCTCTGAACCTTTTTTATTCTGTCTGCACAAATAAATTCCTAGAGCTACACTGATGCAGATGAAAATGGCGAGCATTCCAGATAATACTGAAATAGCTGCTATCGTCGACGAATGCATCCCCTCCGGAGGCATCTCTTGGGTTTCATCACAAGCACATGCTACATCTGAAATATCGTGAATGGAAAGGAGGTATTAGTAAATCTATTTTGGTTATTGGTCAGATGGTCAACATTTTCAATAAGCTACATATAATAGACCAGTGCACGGTTAGCACCTTACTGCAATGACCTCGAATATCCACAGATCTTCAAAACATAAAGAGGTCCCACTTTGTACATTTTGAAATAATCACCCCTTACATGCGATGGAGGTGCTTTATAAATAGCCTTTGTTCCCCCTTTTCAAAGAATACTTCCACCTGTGTATCATGGAGTGCACTGAATGTGCATGAATGAATAATGTTACATAACTTTCATGAGCACGTATCCAGTATTTCGTCTCGGTGTATTTAAAAATTTGTTCTGCAATGACCTTTGTCTGCTCATGCTCAGATTGCAACCGTGAACTGGCTATGTCCGCAACCACAAATAATACTTAACTAAAATGTTGTATCGTGAGATATACAGCTTTCTGAGCTATGGCGTCATAATTACTATGGAGATGTCATGTCATGTTATATTAATCGGCTCTGCAGCCCACAAGACAACGAGACCAAAATTGTCGGTCTCCCGGGCTGTCGGTCTACCGGGGACAGGGGCGTACGCAGGGGGGGGGGGGTTTGAGGGTTCAACCCCCCCCCCCCTTGGTATTTTTATGTGTGTAAACCCCCCTAAACCCCCTAAAAAAACCTAAAACCCCCCCCTTTGGATTTTTTTTTTTTTTTAATTATAAAAAAAAAATAAAAAAAATAATAATATGCCCACGGCTAACCTAAAAAAGATGACCTTACCCCCCCCCCCCCCCCCCCCAAGAAGAAAAATGTCAAATTTTCAAATTTCGAGACCAAAAAAAAAAAAAAAAAGTGTCCGCTTACTCCCTTGAGCAGACCGGTTTTGAAGAAGGCCGTTACTGCCATACTTAATACGACCTTCTGCTTGACAGCCGAGTGGTTTATTGGTTTCCCCAAAGAAATGAAACGAAGTAAATATTGCGTAATATGTGATAAAAATGTATTAAATATATCTTCACGCCTTCAACTTACATGATTTTTGAGTTGGAGTGTTAAGGAATGATCGAATCCAGTCTTCATAACGTGTGACATTGGTGTAGACTCCAGGTGAATTCGGATTGCCACACCCATACCCCCAGCTCACCACACCAATCTGATAGTACTGGTCGGTGTTATTCGATGGATACGCCACTAAGGGACCGCCACTGTCACCCTATAAGGGTAATTTGGAAATTCGAGGACAATTGTTATTAGTTAGTTAGTTTGTTAGTTAGTTACTTTGTTTGTATGTTATTCTATGCATCTGTGGATTAGATTATCTTTGGATCAAGGATATAAAACCCCGTCTTAACTGGAAAATAGCGAGCTTTCGATTTTAGGCACCCGACGTGGGCTACTAAGCGTGACGACATATTTATTCCCTGCGCATGCGCGAGCTTCTGGGCCCACGTTCCCTTCCAAATCACCCGACGGGAGTCGGGGGCAATTTCCGCAAAGGTTCGTACGAACGATAATTTCGTACGAATCTCCCTGTTTTTCCATTGTCTTCTCGAATTTCCATTGTCTGAAAAACGTTCGTACGGCGTTCGTAGCAGTTCGTAATGGCATTTGTGACCGATCGAGGCTTTATTATCCTGTGTTTATTGCACCAAAATAACTACAGGTACATATAAATTTACATCCAATGGAATTGTACCCACGAATTGTACTAATTTTTTCACATCAATATGAAATTATGATTGAAATATTTGGGAATAAAAAGGTGTTAAAAATGCCACATCTGGGCCTTTAGATTGTGCCCTAAAATCCAACAGCTTCAGGGGGCTGCGTCCCCTGCATCCCCGCTGTCGGCTCGGTCGCTACGCTCCCTCGCAGCACAGAAACAAAACATACAGTTTGGCACTTCAACTACAAATTATTTTTGTGTTGGCACTTCTAATAAACTAGTTGAGAAGGCCTGGGGGGCGTTTCATGAAACAATTAATATTAATATCATGTTCACCGGCAATTCTTTTGTCACCGACTATTTTCCAGGCCTGTGATTGGTCAAATTTAGTCAGCACTGACTAAATTGTCGGTGAACATGATATTAGTCGGTGAAAACCACCGACTAATTGTTTCATGAAACTGATAAATAGTGAGGACATGGCGTCACAAACTGTTTTGTGATTCTCATTGTTCCATAGTTTTACATATTTTTCAAAAATTCATAACTTCCTTATTAGTTATCCGATTTTGCTCAAACTTTTTTTGATTGGTTTGTCTGATTTTTCTGCTTTTATTGAATTTATTTTTCGAGTGGACTTGTCCTTTCAGGATTACACTAAAAACGGAAGGGGCGGGGTGGTATACGTCAAATTTTTTGTAATCGCTTTTCTCTCGCAAATGCATTGACTGACTGAACCTAAATCGATGGAAAAATGATTAATTTTAACAGAAAAAGACGCACGTTGTGATGAAAAGTTAAATATTTTCATTGAAATTCATTTGTTGACATTCGTAGAATGACTATTACCTGGCAAGAATCAACACCGCCCTCTTCGTATCCTACACAGATCATGTTATCAGTAAATAAGATGCCTTTCCCTGCTAGGGACTGATTGCACTTTGCCCAGTCGTGGATGGGAACAACTGCCTCATATAACCTGTCAGGGTTTTCGGCCGCTATTATTGAAAAGAGAAACAAATAAGAAATACGTAAGTATTTCAGATTCAGATTCAGATTCAGATTATTATATTGGTCCATTTGGAAATTTAGTTGTTAGCATTAGATAAAGCACATGAACAATATACAATAGAAAATAATATACACAAATAGATAATACACAGTAGCAAATGTACAATGACATATTCATATGGAAACACGGATATAAGTCGTTTTTACATAGTGGAATAATATAAGAAAATAATGGACTCACAACACTATTGAAAATGTACAATTGCGTAGAATTCGGAAATAGCAATGTTATTACATTTTATTATTATTATTTTTATCTTTATTATTATCATCATCATCAGCAGTATTTATTATCATTATTTGTCACGGTTATATCGCTGAATTCTTTCTTTTTTTTCTTCTTCATAAATTAAAGGTATTACAAAGTTTTGGTATGGGGTCATGAATTTGGTTCAAATGAACATATTGGAAGCATAGGCGATCCTACAATATTCAGTGATCGTTGTCGTGGTTGAAATCGAGTCTAAAGTGATGAAATTGTAAATAATAAACTCTTTATGTTGTATAGCGCCCTCTCAATGTCAATATATTAATTTAGTTATAAAACAACGTTCTTTGAATAAAATCGACCGATTTGCTATTACCGTTTGGAATATATATATCACAACTACATATTCTGAGATTTTCATGGTCGCAGCTACCATCGTATGGTCGTAGGCGCTATTTGAAATTTCTCAAAATTTACCGGGAGCACCGGTAAATTTGTATATTCAATTTATCTCGAAAGCAGAAGTGTTTTAGGGGCTAAATTTTTAAGTGCTTATAATACATCCATAAGGGCATCCAAATATATCATAATTGTAAAGAATCACTATCCAGCCAATTTTCAAAATTTACCAAAACTTTGTAATACCTTTAAACGTTATAACATTATGATATCATAGGGTATTATTTATTTCTGTGCTTGTGATACTGGTACATTTGGTTGAAAAGGAAGGGTACAATGCAATTCATGAATAGCGAAGTGGCAAGATACAGGCCTATTAAATTTGACTGGAGTTGTTCATTGCATAAACGAACTGGGGTGGGGTAGAGGTAGCCCCTCGCCCCGAGGATTTTGACATTCGGGCAACGAAAAGACCGAATATGTAAATGTTACAGCTTATATAATGTATTTTGATCACATAAATAACGTTTAATCATTCTCGCAAAATTAAGAATCTGGAAAGTTGGTTTTCGGACATAAGATATCACCCCCCCCCCCCCCGCGTAAAATAAACCCCTAAGCATATAATTATTTCAGGTATCCAAAGATGAATATAATTAAGGTTATTTTCCTTATGTATCATCCTCATCTTGTCATCCTGCTACTGTTTCTTGTTTGTTTTTGTCTCGTTTTTTGTTGTTGTATGTCCTGTTTTTTTTATTCCGTAACTTTTTCAAAATTTAGTTATGAGTGTATAAAGTTTGATTATTATTGTGCGAACCTACACCTTTTTTTCTTGTCACTTAATGTTCCACCATCAACCGCCACTCAAGAAACCCTACAAATCATTAATGTCGATTTTACGCCTATTATCTAAATAAAATGCAGCTGCTAATATTTCACATTATTATAATTTCTCTAAGTTAATTGTTTATACATCATTGCTTTATTGTATTCCTTTGTTAAATTTTATTCATGAGACAATAATTATGGTTAGGAATGTAGAACAAAAGATAAAGCAGACGCGGATCCAGGATTTCTAGGGGGGGGGGCCAGCTAAAAAAAAAGGGTAAAATTAACGTGTTTTTACACGTTTTTTCCCAGGGGGGGGGGCGGCCCCCCCCCCGCCCTGGATCCGCCACTGTCCACACTGATTACCACCCCTTTAAATCCTCCTTGGAAAAAAAATGCCTCGTCACTGGACATGCAATAAAAATATTATCAACAAATCAAACAATAAAACTGAAAAACCAATATTTCTCCCCCACATGACCCAAAAATCGTCCTCACCCCCGCTTTGTAGTGTTCCCCATCCAGTGACTGTTGCATTCTGCCCGACGACGAACTGGTCATCCATGTCGCCAGTAGGAAGACAAATCGTATTCACTTTGAAATCTTCGCTGAGGATAAATGGTTCTGTCATCTTAAACAAAGCGATGTCGTTATCGTTATTAAATGCATCTATAAAGTCGTAGTCGGGATGGACCAGGATTCTTGAGGCCCAACGTACTTGAATGACATCAGTGAAGTCAGATAAATTGTTTGAACCGACTTTAAAAGCGTATACTTTTGGCCTGCAGAGTAAACAAGTATCGCTTCAAAAGAAAAGAAAATAGAATGTGGCATTAAATGATATTGTTAAACCTTTGTTGAAGTGTTTTATTTAGGCATATATATGAACTGTCAAGGCTTTTATTTCAATTTGTTTCAATTATATACTATCGTTTCGGAGGATTATCCAAATTGAATTATTTGCTCATTCTAAACAGTGACAGAAAATACAATTGGATCTGTCTACTATTCGCCACTGAATACTATAAAGGGCACTGCAGACTGAAGAATGATGTGATCTCAAAGCAAAAAAACATGAAAAAAGTTAGTCATTGGTATTGATAACATTAACAGGGATTATTTCAACATCATAAAAGATATTGCTTAAACATCATACTTTGCAGTTGGGTGTGATGGTCTGAATATTCATTTGCCAGCGAGCGAAGCAAGTAAGGACAAATTGTAAGATTTGTGAGGTCGCAGTGCAAAAAATAACTTCTTATAAGAGAAGAAAAGAAATTATCAGAACATTCTCATAACGCAAGACTGAAAAGGCCTTTGATAATTTTATCATTCATATATGCAAGCGAGCTTTGGGAGAAATTGCTCTTAGTCACTTTAAATTAGTAGGTGTATGTTTAGTGATGAGAGGAAAAGGGGACACTTGTCGAAAGGGATAAGACATTTATTGGAAAATAAAAGGAGCACAAGTACAAAGGGTAATTATCAGAGATAATTAGATTACACCTAAAAAGAGGCACTCATCAGGGATGAAAAAGGGCACTTATGAGAATGGGGAAGGGGCATTTGTCGACGGAAAAGGGGAACCCATCATATTTTGATAGGGGCATTAATAAGAGGTGAAAATGGGCATTTATGAAAAGGGGATAGGTCCCATATTGGAAAGAGAAAATGGCACGCATCATTAATAACAAGGAAATTATCAGAGGTGAAAAGGGGCTCTACTCGCACCTGAAGAGGGGCACTAATAATAAAGGGAAATGTGCATTTTTTGAAGAAAAGGGGCACCGATCACATTTTAATAGGGGCATTTATCTGAGGTGAAACGGGGCTTTGAAGAAAAGGAGGAAGTGGCTCATATTAATAAGAAAAGGTGGCACATGTTAAAATAAAAAGGGTAATTATGAGAAGGGGAAGGAGCACTTTTACGAAGAAAAGGAGCATTATTAGAAAAGAAAAGAAGCACTTTAAAAAAAATAAAAGGTGCAGTTATTAGAAGTTAAAAAAGGGCACTCATCAGAGAGGAATAGAGCACTTATCAGGAGAGGAAGGGGCACTTGTCAAAGTAAAACGAGCATCTCTCAGAGTTGAATAGGGGCAATTATTGAAGGTGAAGGGGGCACTTAGCTGAAGTGAAGAAAAAAATAACTTCTCGTACCTGAAAAGGTTCATTTACCAGAGATGAAAAGGGGCACTTATGAGAAGCGGAAAGAGCTCTTTTTTTTTAAATGAGACACTTATCATATAAGGAAAAGAGGCACATGTGAAATTAAAAGGTGCGCTTATCTGAGTTAAAAAGGGGTAGTTATTAAAAGGGGAAAGGGCTCCTCTTACAAAGGAAAAGGGGCAAATGTCAAAGTAAACAGGGCACCTCTCAGATTTGAATAGGGCAATTATCAGAGGTGAAGGGTGCACGAATCAAAACTGAAAAGGGGCACTTACTAGAGATTAAAAAGGGCACTTATGATAATGGAAATTGCGGGACACTTAGTACAAAGGAAAATGGGAACTTCGTTGTCGAAGGATAAGGGGCACTTGTCAGAATAAAAAGGGCACTTTTCCCGTGTAAAAAGGGGCGCTTTTGGGAGTACTTGAAAAAGGGGGCACTACGCCCCCCCCCCCAGAAGCGCTGCCTCTGCATCATCATCATCATCTTTGACTTACACGCAATGTGCAGCTGTCAGGATCCACCATGGGTCAATCAAGGAGCCTCCACAGATGAATTCCCCATCCTCGAACATAGCAACCTGCCATGGCCACGCATACTCCTTTGCTGGGTGACCGCCGACGATCATAGAGCTCATTCCTTCGTATGTTTTCCCACAATCATTAGGATTTGCTAAATATAGAAGAAAACAAGTTCAGTGGAATAATGATATGATTTAATATATGCGAAATTATGATAATATTAATGGTGATAATGATGATGATAATAATTATGATGATACTAATAATAATGGAAAACAGTTATAATAATTGATATTATAGAAATATAATAATAGTATTATTGTAATGTTAATAGTAATACAATGATAAAAATAAAAATAACATTGATGATGAAAATTATGATAATTATGGTGATAATATTAATAATAATAACAAATACGATCAAAATTATAATATTAACAAATAAAATGATGATAATGATATCAGTCGTAATAATCATAATTATAATAATAATAATGATCATCATCATGATGGTGGTAGTAATGATGACAATGTTGAATAATATTATTCAGTATTAATGCTGCGCTCGCTTTTGGGGCCTGACAGATTAATTTGAGGATGCAAGCTGATAACGAGAAAAGATCGATCCCTGCACCTCTCATACAAAAGTCAAGAGCCTAAACCCAGAAGCGGATCTAGAGGGGGGTTGGGGGGTTACAACCCCCCCAAAAAAAATCCGGGGACCATTTTTTAAAATCTTATCTTTTTTTTTAAACTTGTAATTTTATTTTATTCTATTTCTATGTATTTATTTCATTTATTATTATTATTATTATTATTATTATTATTATTATTATTATTATTTCTTTTTGGGGGAGGGGGGGGGGGTTGGGCGAACAAATGTCACAGAGTCCCTTGCCCCCCCCCCCCATCAGCTTTTTTGAGGACACGGGCCACCGCCGAAGTGAAAAAAGAAAAAAAAGAAAAAAGAACGCACGCTGGAGAGAAACCCTTTCAAGTGCAAATATTGTGAGAAGATTTTCAACTCATCTGGTAACTTAACCAAACACATGATAACTCTGGATATAACTGTGTATTTAACTGTTACTCGATTTAAAAAGACGTTATCATGCACTGCTTTTTATGGTCTCCATTGTGTTAATAGATGCCAGGAAAACATCACTTACGGGTTCAAATAAACACCCCAAAAAAATCGGCTCGCCGCTTCGCGGCTCGTGGACGATGCTCCGCATCGTCATTATTTTGGTCAACCCCCCCCTTAGCAAAAAGCTAGATCCGCCCCTGGGTTAAACCAATATACCAAAGTGCTCCCACTGTGGCACGATTATGGGTACTATAAAGATTACCACCCCCCCCCCCCTCCCCATCCATCCGCCCTCCCCTCTCTCTTTTTCTCTCTTCTCTCTTTCACTCATTTCTTCGTTCTTCTTTTTCTTCTTCTTCTTCTACTACTTCTTCTCTTCTTCTTCTTCTTCTTCTTCTTCTTCTTTTTTTCTTCTCTTCTTCTCTCTCTCCCTCTCTTTCACTCATTTCTTCTTTTTCTTTTTCTTTTTCTTCTTCTTCTTCTTCTTCTTCTTCTCTCTCTCTCTCTCTCTCTTTCACTCATTTCTTCTTTTTCTTTTTCTTCTTCTTTTTCTTTTTCTTTTTCTTCTCTCCTCTCTCTCTCTCTCTCTCTTTCACTCATTTCTTCTTTTTCTTTTTCTTCTTCTTTTTCTTTTTTCTTCTTCTTCTCTCTCTCTCCCCTCTCTCTCTCTCTCTCTCTCCCTATCTCGATCGTTTTTTTTGTTCTTTTCCACTTTTACCTCCCATCAATCTCGCTTCCATATGTTAACCTTGCTCTTGTTAGCAATCAATATGAAATTGTAGGTTCAGTCTTTCACTGAACAATGTTACTTCGGATAGATTACATATGACATATACACTCTTCTGTGAAACAGATACATTGTGATAAATCCGTTTTCAAAAATTAGTCCGCACTAGTTTGGCCAGGAGGGATTAGACCTCCCTGCATGGTCACTGACATGTGGTAATCTCATCAAATCAACTCTCAATTAACATAAGAAAAAGGGGATCATGGGGGACCAACGGGCACCGATTAGGCATTGTTTAGTATATAGAGGGCGCAAATAGATACAAGTAGTGCAGAATTTTTATTCATCACGGGCTCACCTTGCCAATCAGCTGCCATTGCTGTTACAGCAATCATCAGAACCACGAACATTGAGGAAAGTGACGCCATTGTTTCAAGTGCTCTAATGAGGAAAGGTCAAAGGTCAATTCAAACTTGACGCATCATACCTATCTATTTCCTGTGTATTATCTTCGTTTGTCTAAAGTACACTAATTATATATTTGCATAGTCTTTATCATTTATTAAGGGCTCTAAAAGCCCGCGAAATTTTACGTCCTTATCACCTTCACGATGCGTTTCCTGGCTCACTGTTTATCCATTACTAATCATGTTCAATTTCAATTTTATTCCTGTTTCTAACAAAGCATTACAAATCAATTATAATAATTTACACAAATTAAGGAATACATATTGGCAGCAACATTACAGCCTAAAAATTGCGAGCTTTTAATTAAAGAAATAACAGTGATTTTGCTTTTCCTTGTCATTTCTGAGTGTGAAAATACATTCTCCACGTGTACAGTGAGACAATCACAGAGATGTTTTGACAAAACTCATTATGAATTTGGTAAAATAAATGTGCTAATCCAAAAGGCCGGCTCCAGCATGAAGTTTGATTTTCATCCCTTGGATAATAATTATATAATCATTATCATAAATCATTGTACAGTAATAGTTAGAAATAAGACAAACTACTTACAGAGTGTTGGAAACCATCGAAGTTGTAGCCGTGCACGGTGCGAAATCAGTGCTTGATTCTGAGCACGCCGCCAGTATTTATCAGTCATATATAATTATAATATAGTTTAAAGTCTAATGTATATTTGATTGTTTTTAAGATAACAATTCGGCTTAGGGACCCTTCTGCAAGTAGGTCTGTCGTTATTTTTTAACTTGCGAAATCAATCATGATTTAATAGAAGACATGTAGCAGAAATCATCTTTCAACAATAAAAAATATCTTACGATAATGGTCAACATGACCGGAGGTACTGCCCACATACAATACTCCCCCTCCTTTTTTGAATTTATTTTTTTTCATATTTTTTCCTCCACAGGGATGTTATTGATTTTCCTTTGCAACAACTTCAAACATTAATTATATTCAAGGTAATTTGCATTTATAATATAAATAAAATTGACTACTCAAGATACAAATATTTGTTAAACTGTTGATGTAACAGAAGACAAATATAGTTTCAATAATGTATTTCTGATGTGCATGGAGAAAAAAATGGAGAATTAAAAAAAGAAAAATTGTAACTGATTGAGAGCCAGCAGTTAGTATGTGTCTATCCTTCAAAAGGGCATGTAGAACAGTATCATATTTTCAAAAATGATAATGAGAAGGATTTATAATCTTCGTAGACAGGGGTGTAATATATTTTGGCATATTCGTATACTTATGAATTAAATCGATGTTTTGTTTTCTTTCTCTACCAAATTTTCCCCTCTATTTCCCTTGGAATAATGAAGAACGGTGGCTGTTTCAGCCCACGTGGATCCTTTTGTAATACGTACAGTGTTGAATTACATACATATCCAACATAATAGTTCGGATACGCATCTGACATCCATATGACATACCTTGGATGCGGTAATGAGTCAAAACTTTTCTTTCGTTGGGGAGGGGGGGGGGGGCAGAATAAAAAAAATCATTTCAACAACATTTATAAACCATTGGTATCGAATTCGAAGGGGAAAAAAAATCCACGTTTGAATAGTCTTTTGTGAAACGTACTTCTTTTTATGTTCGTATTCAAGTATGTGCATGTGCAAGTATGTGAGCGAGTGCATGTATTTGGAGCGCTTATTATAATATATATTACTTGTATGCAGATAATAAATGACGCTGCATGGAAGCCATGAAAGAATATATCGTATAGTAGATGATTTTACAGTATAGTTAGGAAACTATTCCATGTGCCAGGGCCATGGCGTCGGATAGATTTATGAGCAATTAGCATTTGGGATGTAAATGACAATTCTGAGAGTTTCATGTCGGATAAGTATGGATTGTGTCGTTTATAACAAACAGGTTTTGGAATGCCGGAGGAAGTAGGCTATTGGAGTATCTGAACATAACGATAACAAGCTTCAAAGTATCGATATAATGTTTTCAGCTTCTGAAATAATAGAGTTAAGTGAACGTATACAAATAGTATTGCTGTGCTACATTTTGGCTATAAAAGTCATCTCAGGAAGAAGAAAAAATACAAATAATGAAATTTCGGTCTTATTAGATAAACCATCATTATTCACATTGTACATGTGATTGATTTAAACAAGTTTTCTTCTTCTCCTTCTTCCTTTTTTAAGTATACAACAAACTCAACGATTATTTAAACACGTTAAACGTGTATAAGCCACAAACTTTGTGGCTTATACACCCAGCAAATAAGATCGATTGATCGATCTGTACTGAAAAAAAAAAGCCACAAATAAACTCAACGATGTGATAAATGATTCTTATTTATATAAAGACGTAATTCAACTTCTGATTTTCCAAACAAAACGTCGGTTTCAGGAGGAGATAAAAATGATCTCTCCATCAACTTGCTTGTGAAGAATACAATCACAGATACATAAATTCTTTATTTCAAATATATGCCTATATTAGAAATCTTACATTTCTGAACGTGACGAAGGAAATAATACAGCTTTCATAAAATATGTCTTCAATACAAAATACATACAAGAATGTCTTTATTATTAGAGTAAAGATGAACAGAAGTGTTAACACTAAACATAAATTGTATACAATTTATAAGCACATTAGCACATTAGCGAGCTGATTCTGCCTATACTAGCGTGTATGTCTATGCGGCAGCAACGGACAAAAAGAGACCCCCCCCCCCCCCCACTCGGTGTTATTTAGGGTACGCGTATGCATGTTCCCTCTTTTTTTTTAAAACACCCCTAAAGATATATATGTTTTATATCTATTTTTTTAATTAATTAATTTTTTTTTTTAAAGAAAAAAACATGAAAAACACTGCTAAAATGGATCTTTTTCTGAATTTAATCAAATGTACAGACATAATATAAATTACCCCAGTCATGAGATTTTTACCATTAAAAAAAAATTATTGAATGTTGAATCGAAATGCGCTGGAACTCAAGAAAAATTCAACAACAAAAAAATAACCCGAGACCTTAATTCGCGCACGGAAGTTTACAGCTCATTTATTCTCTCAAAGAGGTTCATCAAATATAAAATAAATGCACATTATGCAAGGCAAAATATTACAAAATCAGTTAGTACCACGTTTTACTCATAGTTTTGATGACATCTGCTCTCAAAATAAAGATGTCCAGACCCTTGTCGGTAATTTCATATTTTCGGAACGGACGCAAAAAAAAAAATAACATTTTCCGATCTTTTGTCAATATTTACATAATTTTACACCAAGTTCCATAAAAAAATGTTGGTCTCTGCCTAGTTTTAGTTTCCTCTTTCCATTGGTGGTATCAGATTTTCGAAATTTTACCGATTTGTTGATATAGCGAACTATGGTCACACCACCATACATGTATTTCTAAAGCGAATATTATGCCATAAGGATGTTTCAAAATCGACCAAAGGATGGAACAGATAACAGCTATCAGCGACTTTTTTGTCATTTATTTATTTATTTATTTATTAGTCTTTTTTTAGTAGGGTGGCTCCATCAGTAGTTAAATACTGTTTTCCGTGGAGGCCCTACAGTCCATCAGTCCATTGATTATAAGCCAGTAATATTAATTTTTCATGCAAGTGATATTTAAATTTACGAGAAAGTACTATATACCAACATAGCAATGGTGGCTATAACCTAAAATCATCTTAAATATATAGACATAAATTGTACAGATATACTTATAAGGCTACACTATATTTCTTAAATGTAATACAAAGTTTTGGTATGGGGTCATGAATTTGGTTCAAATGAACATATTGGAAGCAAATGCGATCCTACAATATTCAGTGATCGTTGTCCGGGTTATAATCGAGTCTAACTGAGTTATGAAATTGTAAAAAATTAATTCTTTGTGCTTTATAGCTCCCTCTCAAGGTCAAGATATTAATTAAGCTATAAAACAATATTTCTTGACTAAAATCGACCAATTGGTTATTTCCATTTGGAAAGTATATATTTCAACTACATATTCTGAGATTTTCATGGTCATAGCTACCATTGTATGGCCGTAGGCGCTATTTGAAATTTATCAACATTTACCGGGAGCACCGGTAAATTTTGATATTAAATTTTTCTCGAAAGCAGAAGTGTTTTAGGGACTAAATTTTCTAGTGCTTATAAAACATCCACAGGGGCATCCAAATATATCAAAATTGTAAAGAATCCCTATTCAGCCAATTTGCAAAATTTCCCAAAACTTTGTATTACCTTTAATGATCAGAAAGAAATCGATTTCCCAGCTTCACCTATATGAAAAACACTTTTGAAATTAATCTGACCACTGGAGGCATTTATCTTAATGAAGATATTCACTCATTTATACAGACTCTATTTACATTTTCAATCGAAGTTTTCTGCAACATCATAGCCAAATGTCAGATTACCTCAATCATCATGGAAAACTGCGTCAAGCAAAGCAAACTGTGTCATATTCAAGCAAATATTCCTTTTCATTCAAAAGGGAACTTTAAAAATACGAACTTTGGGGAATGGGTACTCTGAACACCTACTTGCTCTGACCCTATTTATCCTGTCTGTACCAAGAAATTCCAAAAGCTACACTGATGCATATGAAAATGGCGAGCAATACAGATAACACTGAGATAGCTGCTATCGTCGATGAAGACATCTTTTTGGTATCATCACAAGCGCATGGTACATCTGAAATATCGTGGATGGAAAGAAGTTTTTAGTAAATCAATTTGAGTTGCTGGTCAATTTGGCAAGATTTGTCGATTAGCTACAAGTTATTATGTCCGCACACAACCACAAATAATGTAACTTAAATTTTGTCTCGTGAGAAACACAGCTCTCTGAGCTATGGGAGCTATGGCTTCATAATTACTTTCCCATTACTTCGTATGAAAGATGTAGTGTTATTTGTACTCGGCTCTGCAGCCCACTTGACAACGATACGGCCTTCTGCGGGATAGCCGATTGATAAATTGGTTTGCAAAAATGACTAGAAGTGAAAAATTGCATAACACATGTATGTGATAAAATCATCCAAGCATGCATGGAATATCCTATAGGATTAGGAGCTCAACTTAATGTGTAAATATCTCACACGTTCTGCAACTGAAAAGATCGTCCATGCCCTCATTTCATCTCGTTTAGACTTTTGTGATTCTCCTATGTACCACTTTACTCACTTGAAAACACAACTCTCTCGTTTGCAGGAATTACAAAATACTGCTGCCCGCATTTTACTTTATCTAAGAGATCTACCCACGTAACTCTCATTTTGGAATCTCCCCATTGAATGCCAATTTAATTTTTGAAAATATTTAAGATTTTGTTACTTTGTTTTCATTGTTTGCGTGGTGCTTCCCCTAAGTACAACTTTACTTTTTTCACTTTCCATAATCTTCGTAGACAACTTCGATCTTCTAACTCTTCTATTCTTGTAGTCCCCCAAAACAACAGTTCGTGGAGGGATCAATCTTTTGCACATATGCTGGATCAGTTCTATGGAATGAATTACCACAGCCTCTAAAGGAAATAGCAACTGTAAACTCATGAGTCTTCTCTTAAAATGCACGTGTTCAAATCCGATTTAGATTAATTTGATACTGATCCGTCATAGCATATATATTTCCTTACTGTATTATGCATGTCAACTTATTTTTTCGAAGCACTCTGTTTTACTCTTATTATATTGTTCATGACTCTGTATTGCAATTTGCAATTTACACATAATTGTAGTTAACTTTATTCATGTATAATCTCAGCGCTTTGAACATGTCTGTGAAATGGATATAGCGCTTTACAAATAGCCATTAAACTTACATGACTCTTGAGTTGGGGTGTTAAAGAAAGATCGAATCCAGTCTTCATAACGTGTGACCCTGGTGTAGACTCCGGGTGAGTTCGGTTCGCCACACCCATTCCCCCAGCTCACCACACCAATCTGATAGTACTGGTCGGTGTTACTCGATGGATACGCCACCAGGGGGCCGCCACTGTCGCCCTATAAGGGTAATTGGGACATTCAGGAACAATTAAAAAGGACTAAATCCCTTCCAATTTAATTCTCTTATTTCTTTGCCGATAATATGTGAATTATATTTTGAGCCTACTCTTGGCTACTGATAGTAGGCCTAACCATGGTTAATGTACATTAAGATATTGCATCCGGAGCACTACCTCTCTGCGCGAACATACCTTGTACGAAAGACTGCTCCCACCTCCTGCCCCGCAAAAACGTATATCACGACACTTTTTAAAGGGGTTATAGAATTTTAGGGATTGTTGTCCTAAACAGGCGTTTATCGGGAGTCAGGTACATGTAATTATTGTTTGGGCTTGTACATAATAGGGGTTTTGCCCTATTATTGAATATTGTACATCGTATTAAATTTTACACTGCACGTTACGAGGCACCTGTGTCTTTGTCGTATGACTTTGCTCCGAGTAGTATGCGTTTATCTAATTTTGGACTAAAAACTATAACAATGTCAATTAACAACGTACTCTAATCTATGATTGATAAAAATGTAAAAATTCAAGGCATTATGACTACCATTAGAGAAAATGTTATTAATATAGATTATACCAAGAATATAGGATTTATGATCATGGTTTTTGACAGGGGTTAATAAGGAAATACACAAGAGAAACATCAAGTTGGAACCATGTAGGCAAAGCTATACTTCGTGGACATGATTATTGCAATACTCGAGGTGTCAGAAATATACATTAATTATTGTGTAATGTTTTTTTTCTTTCAAATCAGCTTTTTTTTTTTTGGAGATATTTTTGGTTGTTTGTTTAATAAAGTAGTAGTAAGTCATTTAGTTAGTTTGTTAGTTAGTTACTTTGTTTGTTTGTTCTTCTATGTGCTTGTGGATTGGCTTATCGTTAAGGATTAAAGTAAAAACGAAAGGGGCGGGGGTTGTATACGTCTATTTTGTTCAAATCGCTCTTCTCTCTCAAATAATTGAGTGGACCTAAATCGATGGGAAAATGATTAAATCTAAAAGAAAAGGACGCACGCTGTAATCCAAATTTGTATATTTTCGTTGAAATTAATTTTTTGAAATTCTTGATTGAATTTTACCTTGCAAGCATCAACACCGCCCTTTTCGTAGCCTGCACAAATCATGTTATCAGTGAAGATGTCATCCCCTGCTAGGGACCGATCGCACTTTGTCCAGTTATAGATGGGAACATTTGCCTCATATAACATATCAGGGTAATTTTCCTCTATTAACGAAAAGAATAATCAATGGGAAATACATAATTATTTGCATAGACGAACTAGGATGTGGGTAGGGATAGCCCCCCCCCCCCCCCCTCCCCGAGAATTTTTGAATTTTGACAACGAAGAGACCGAATATAACTGTAAATGTTATAGCTTATCTAGCGTATTTTGATCACATA